GCTGGTAATTAAGCTTAGAAGTTTTCATGCAGGCCCCCACATTTGTACCCTAAAGTTCAAAGTGGGGAAGCAGCCTTGACAAGCCCCCCCTCCAATCAACATCCCCATAGGTGGGTCTCACCTCACACTGTCCAGGCCCCCTAACTGGAGCCTTCATTCCCTCCCCACTCTGGCTAGCCACCACAAGCTGGGCCCCTAACTTTGCACCCCAGCCAGCCCTCCTAGCCACTTTGGCTAGCCCCAATAACCAAGTCTCCATTTGCACTGGAAAGCTGGATAACACACAGAGCTCAGCCTACATGAGCAAACGTGTGACAAACTAGTGTGCAATCGTACCTTGTAGTTTCCTTAGAATCTAATCATTTTTATATTGTTTTAGTGTGCTGTGTAATTCTTTCTTTCTTTCTAGTAACTTTAACTACAAGTTAACAAAGATATTTTGGAGGAGAAGTGTCTTTCCTTCTAATTTAATAATAAATAACAATGATAACAGCAACTCCACCTGGAAACATATCCTTCTCATCTGATCCCATGGATTTCCCCTTTCCTGTCTTCAGCTCCAATGGCAGAGCATCTAATGGAAGGAACATGGGAAAGAGACAAGACTTCATGCTGTCGAGTTTATGGGGTATCCCTGCTCTTTGTTAACATAACTGCATTTTGGTTATGAGAAAGAAAGTGATGGAGCCAGAAATAGAGACAGACAAAGCAGTGAAGAAAGAGCCACATCCATTTTTCCAGTGTGGCTAGGTTAAAACTGATCAGAAATTTTGCCTTTTTCCTCTGATGGCAGTGTAAGCCAGTGGTCAGCGTGTGTTGTCTCTGTCTGTGCCCAATCCACAGAGACTGCAAGTCTGTAACAGCCCTAGCAAGTTCCTTAGTTCAAGATGTAGAGACTCCTGTGCTCAGTTATGAGGGTGCTTGGTTTGATCCGTAGGGTTGCTTAAGAGTGGTTTTCACATAAGAAGGGACTTATATGGATTTGAAGCATTGGGGACCTCAGGTGTTTGGGATGAGCTTCCGTCTGTCCAGCAGAACTATATAACTCACTGGTAAATGTGGTGTGTCCCACCTCTAATCTGTAGACGATGTGAGTTTGTTATAACACTCAGCTAGGGAGCTTGACTCCAAAGGTAAAGTTCTAGATACTCATGATTTAAGCACTAAAGGTCCTTAGTTCGATCCCTGCTGTATTGGCCAAGCTAGCAGCTGTTACACCATTTCAGTGCACTTTACTGTCACTCAGCAAGTTATACTACCATCCAGAGAGACAGGATCTCAATTTTAAAGACAGGGAAAGTGAGACTCACAGAGATCAAGGACTAGCTTTTTTTAATTCAAACACGGCTACTTCTTTATGGTGTTGAGAGGACTGATATTTTCTTTTATAAATTCCCTCAATAGTTACATCTCACTCCTGCTCCACTGTGGGACAGAATTACCCCTAGAGCTGAGCAGAGACTAGTTTTCCCATCTCTCAAATATTTTGGAAAGTTCAAAAATGTTCTCCATTTCAAACTGGAACAAAAAAATTGAAGTCTCAAAAATATTTGGTAACTCAAAACACGGGAAAAATCAGTTCAAGTGAATCAAAATGTTTCATTTTGAAGATTCTCAAACAATTCCTTTTTAATTTTCACTTTTCTTCTAACTTTTTGTTAGTCTAATCAGCTGAAATTTCAAATCAAAAAGTCCTTGGCCTTCATCTTCTATGAGCCAGGATGTTCCCATGTTCTTGTATTTATTGCATGGTGGGCATCTGCCCACTAGGAACTGGTCTGAGAGCCCCAATCGCCCATTCCTGAAATGATTTCACCTGTGTCACCAAAAATTAGGTGGTAAATGTTTTGATCACTGCTGACCTGGGTAAAAGAGTAGCCAATGACCCAGTGGTGAAAGACCTGTATTCCATCCCCAGACTCCTGAGGCAGCCAGTCCCCCAGAGATGGACATTACCATGTTTAGGATAATAACCCTTCTCCTAGGACTCCAGCTCTGTATAAAAGGGTAACACCCTGGGGTTAAGGATCAACATGGGAAGACTGGTCTTTGCAGTGTCACCCTGTCCCACACATTGTGCTGTTGTGCCCTGGGGAGATGTGCTAATAAGGTTCCCAAGCCCCTTTCTGATGCTGAGAAGAGTGAGGGGGAGTGAGAAGGAGCCACATACCTGCTCATGGTGCTTCTGATGTCCTAGAGGGGAGAGAGAGAAAAAAGGGAGCCCAGTCCCACATGCCCCACATTGGGCATCCCTCCTGCTCTGGAGGGGACTCACTGTACACTTCTGTTCCAGAGGGAGTTTTTAGGAGAAAGTTTGCAGCTTTAAACAATTTGATACATTTATTTTCCAAGGCTCATGATTCAGGAACCTTCCCTCCCTGTGTAGGGATCTGGGTGGTGGTGGTGGTGGGGTTATAATGTCCCTCACTTGCAGGAATTCACTGGCTGGCTGGGGTATAGTGTGAGAAACTGCTACCTGTAGGCATTTGCTACATCAGGTAGCAGTTTTTTTTACAATAGGAGTTCCTTACAATTAACTACCTATCAGTAACTGCTACCAGGAGCACATTCTTATAGAGAGCAGTTTCCTACACTACACCAGCCCTGGAGCAGGAAAGGAACTACATCTCCCAGAATTCCCGTGGCTATCAACCAGAAAGGGAGTGGGAGGGAGTGGAGAAGCTGCCAGGGCTGGTGAGACCCGATGTTTGCTGTGAATGGGGAGCTGGCTGCTAGACAGGGGTGGTGCTATGAATGGAGAACATATACGCACAAAGAGCAAAAGGCTTCCCCAGATTAGATTAGGGATGCTGGTGGCTTCAGCTGACAGCCCCCAAAGAAGGAATTGTGTGGAATGAATGGACAATGCAGTTCTATCTGAAGCCTAGCAAGGGAGATATGTGGACCCCACCAGGAGAAGTTAAAATGATAAGTAAGGGAAGGAAGGCTCTACTAGAGGACCTGGGCAGCTTTAGGTACCAGGCACGCAGAAGGATGTGACTCAGTTTCCATTTCTGAGCCATAGAAGCAGACATTGGCCTTTCCTTTCCAGATTTATCTAATATTCAGAAAGGGAATCTAGCACCTGCCTTCCAGATTTGAAAACCCTCAACATTCAGGAGCGCTCAAGTTCAGTTTGGGTCTCTCTCTGTTACTTCATTTCTACCAAGTCAAATACTGATCCACTGTAATTTTCTGTAGAAAAAGTAGGATAAAATTGAACAACAAATGCTGGCATCTTCCTAATGCTAACTAGGACCAGAATTGCTATTTCCAACAACCATTACCATTTTTTTTTAAGCTTTGGTTCCCATAAAAACATATAAAGAAGAAGACAGTAATATTGTATTGGCAAGTTCTCCACAGAAACTAAAAGTATAACAAAAGAACAGCAAAGGCACCTCAACTTTTCCTCGTCATCTGGGACAGTCTTACAGTATGGATCCAGATATCCTCCAGTCACACAAACTGAAAATTGTTCCACTTTACTGCAGTTCTGTAACCATGTGCACATCCAAAACTCCTACTGGATTCAGAAGTTCCTTTCTTTTATAACTGTAACCCTTCTGCCCATCTAAGTTGGCAGCAATAAGGGCCGGGTTCTGTATCTAGGGGTTCCGTTTCAATAA